AACATTGAAGGAAAATCGAAAGGACGTTAAAGTTTAATACATATTAAAGAAGATCAAGGGAAGAATTCTATTGTGATAATATTCATGATGTTTTGCTTCAGTAATTAAAAATTGTACTGAATGAAAAGTTCTTTAACTTTAAAATTATACATTATAACTACTCTTTTTGTTAATATTAAGCAAATATAGCTATACACAGGGCATAAGAAAGCTGAAATCAGGTGTGTTTAGAATTTTAAGAGAAGAATCTGATTAATGATGTACTTGTTAGGTTATCTTATTATAGATAATGAAGCAAAGGGTTTTTTTTTTTCTTTTTGGAGACCCCTTACGAGTCAGCACAGTGTAGGCTAACAGCTCCTCCTACTAAAGCTCATTGCATACAAAAACATATATGTGTGGTTTTTTGTTTTTTTGTTTTTTGGTAGAGTGGTTTTGTTGCTAATCGGGATAACCAATTATTATGCTTTGTACTTCTATGCCATTCTTTATCCCAGGATCTCAAACCACTTTATGGACATTAAGTCATTTACACACGAGCATTCCATGAGCAAGATGTGGCAGGTATTATTAGCCCTATGACTTGCCCAGCTATACAGCAAGTAAAGGTAGATTGAGGAATGAAAACCCGGACTCCTGGCTTCTTGTCAGTGTTCTGTCAATGGCTCTCATCACTAGACCATATTTCCTAATTCATATTTGAAAAGTTACTAATATAATTAATGGTAGGAACTGTAACTCACAGTATCATACATTATTATAATTTATACATTCATATCTTAAAGACCATTTTGGTTTTCTCATTAAAACACATAGGTAATTGGGTTTCATGTTTTGGTTGCATTCATTTTTCCTCCCCCTCAACCTTTACAGGTAATTTTCTTTTATTTGAGCTGTGTTCCAAAGACCCAGCATTCCAAAACCTTGGAACGGTTTTGCTCAGTTATGCCAACTAATTCTGGACTTGCACTGAGGTAAGAAAAAATAAATTTCTTTTGGTCCTCAGCTCAATAGATAGGCTCTTCATATAAAATTATTCTTGAAAACTTGATAAGAGCAGTCTGTTTTTCCACTGTTTCCTCATTGATATATACTATTATAATTTTACAGTTCTTAAGCAGTGTTTAGCTATTCATATAAAAGTCAGTATGAAAATCTTGTTTTGAACAACTGCAGATTATAAGGGGGCAAATAATTCAGGTTAAGTTCATGTGAGTTCCCTAAGCATGTGTCCATCCTTAGAATGTGGTTATAAGCAGTAACCACGTTTTACATGGCAGGGAAGTATAACTTAAGAGGTTTTCATATTTTCACATAGGTCAGTTGCTGTCTAATATTAGCATGCGTTAGAATCTCCTGAGATGCATGCTCATTTAAAATGTAGATTCCTGAATTTGAGCTCTCAAACCACATTTGAGAAGCACTGATGTTAGGGATTTTATTCGTTCAATTAAAAGGATATTCATGAGCATTTCTTAGTAATTTCTCTGCTCTGGTAGAGTAAGCCCATTTTCACTCTTAAGAATTGTACCTTTTAATTAAAAAAAGGTACCCTGTACACTAATGCTTTGGCTTCCATTTGTGCAGTCATTCCCTCTGCATCAGTTGCATCTTATATTGTAAGTTTGCTTTATGGATCATAAGATGCCTAATGTATTAGGTACCCTGTACACTAATGCTTTGGCTTCCATTTGTGCAGTCATTCCCACTGCATCAGTTGCATCTTATATTGTAAGTTTGCTTTATGGATCATAAGATGCCTAATGTATTTATCAAACATTCCCTTGTGTTTTGAAGTATTTGCATTACACTTAGCATATGTGGAGAAATAGTGTAAGAGTTTGAAAAAAATTCACAGGCCTAAGGTTGTGACAAATAATACTACTGGTGTTTTATATTTAAATTTCTTAGCAAGCATGCTAATCTGCAGAAGGATGTTTCATAATTCAAATTTCTGATATTAGAAATTTGGATTATGAAATATCACCTTTGATAAAACATGTGAAATAGAAAATGTGGTCATGTTTCAACTAGTTTCTATTATGATAGGAATTTTAGAATATAGGCAGTTTGATTGTCAGTTCTGTTGGTAAATCTCCATTTCTGTGTTTTGATATATATTGTCTTGAGGTCATTCCTGTCACTCCTCAGGAGAATAGAGAACATAATAATTAGTTACTGTGCTTACATTTTAGTTGAAGAAACATTCAAGATCAGGCATACTCTAAGAAACAAAAATACAGAAAATTGCATTACTTTTTAAAAATTTCAGGTGGGGGAGAGTGTTATTTGGGGAGAATGCTTTAGTATCCTATAGGAATACATGGGCCTTATTTTAGTTTTTTGAATATAAGCATAGATCTTGACTGGATCTCTTGTCAGTTTGCACATTCTTGTCTCAGTGTAATTTTTGTAAGAGGCATTCTGCAAATTTTGCTGAATAGCCTTGATGGAATTTAACTGATCCAAATTTTTACCTCATCAAATGTGCTCATAGAGCACATTTCAGGTTTCCTACACTTGCAATGCTTTTGTTCATTTTCCTGAATGTGCTTTACAGGCTACTTCAACATGAATGGGAAGAAAGCAATGTTCAGATTCTGAAACTTCAAGCCAAGATGTTTACATATAATATCCCAACATGCCTGGCCACCTGGAAAATGTAATGCAACAATCATGTACATGTTTTTATAGCTATTGTTTTTATTTATAAGGTTTGCTCCAGACAGGTAAATCTGAAATGACACTTTTTTTTTTCCTGGACATATCTCTACACTAATTTAGATTTGTTTTTTGCATTTGCTAGGGTTAGGTACTGAGAGTGAGTGGTCATTAACAATTGCCTCTAAAAGCAAAATGGATAGATGTTTAAGTTTCTTGGAAGGAGAACATTTAGATAACAATACTGTCATAGACATTTTAAGACCATCTCTTAAAATGTGGGGTTCCCGCCTGCATTATAGTTTGATTTCTTCTTTCTTTTAAAGATGTTAGTGCCAAGTGTTTTTAACTAGTAATTATAAGTATTTTTTTTTTTCATGAACTTTATTTATGTTCAAAACACTGGTCTGGTTTTTCTTGTAAAGTTGAGCCTGCATTATAGTTTGATTTCTTCTTTCTTTTAAAGATGTTAGTGCCAAGTGTTTTTAACTAGTAATTATAAGTATTTTTTTTTCATGAACTTTATTTATGTTCAAAACACTGGTCTGGTTTTTCTTGTAAAGTTGATAAAAATTGTTGAATTTTTCTTTTTTACTGTAGGTTACCCTCCTTGGAAGTTTAGCCTGTTACTTTCAGGAAGTTTTGTACTCAGATTCCCACAGTCAATATTCTGCCAGTGGTGGTATTTCATTTTGTTCAAAGATATATAAATTTTTCTTTTTCCTTTTCTGTATTCCTTTTTTTTTTTTTTCCCCTTAGAGCCATTGCTGCTGAGATTGTTCTAAAGGGACAAAGAGAGGTAAGCCATGATTGAATATCAGATGGGTCACTTTTTAAAAAAACTATTCTGTCCTTTTTGTTGACTTCTCAATTTAAAAGGATTAAAGCATAGAAGTTAACGTTCCAAGATCTCTAAATGTTTGGAAACTCCAAAACCCAATGTAATCATTTTATGTTGAATGTTCTTGTATTGTGAAGTACCATTCTTTAAGCAGATAGGATTTTGAAGGTGTTTTTCATCATGTCGTCTGATGAAACTGTGTGTATATCTATCTTATAGGTCCATCGTTCATATCAGAGAGCCTTACAGAAGTTACCTCTTTGTGCATCACTGTGGAAAGATGTAATGCTTTTTATCTTTTATTTTATCTTGATGTTTTCCTATAAATTTTCTGCATGTGCCATATCCATTGATGTGGTAATGCTCAAACTCTAGCTAAGTCTTACTTCTATGCTTCCCTGTCTTTTACAGCAACTCTTGTTTGAAGCATCAGAAGGAGGTAAAACTGATAACCTGAGAAAACTAGTTTCCAAGTGCCAAGAGATTGGAGTCAGCCTAAATGAGCTCTTAAATTTAAACAGTAACAAAACAGAAAGCAAGAATCACTGAACACTGGGTGCAGTCAGTTCTAAGTCCTTATAATAATTGCCAAAATTATTTGAATGATTCTTCAAGATTAGGCTGGTCCCTGGCTAAGGTCTGTGTAAGGCAGACAAGCATTATTGATCATATCAAATCCCGTACAATATCCTGTCCTCAAAACCGGAAGCAATGAACATGGTCCTCTTCGGTTGGATAAATGAACTTCCTGTTTGGCCTGCTTCTAGGCCCTGCCAGATTCTCATAACATCATGTACGTAAGTATAGTTCCTCAAAGTGACTGACATTTATTTTGATTTTGCTTTGTTTTTGTTTTTGTTTTTTTACTTTCCCCGTTCCTTTATGTTGTGTTATTCCTGATTCACTTGACACTCTCTGATGCCTGAGAGATTCTTGTTTCCAGGGCTGTGTTTACAGTAAAAAAGCAGGCAGTCTTTTTTAGTTCTTCTTTTTAAATCTTTTGAGATTCTTCATTTCAGGATTTAAAACTTAAGCAGTCCATCTTAAGGAAAGTGTAACTGCCATGGCCACAAGTCTGCTAGTTGCACTTGAATGTTCTAAGAGGGTTGTTTATTGCCCTTTCTACGTTCTGGACTCCTTGACGAGACTGTTTAACTTGAAGATTAAAGAAACTATTGCAAATGCCAGTGCATCAGAACCTAAGAGTGGTCAAATATTATGTGCAATTTTTTTGTAAAGAAATTTTAATTTATAATAAAGTTTAACAGTTTAAAGAACAGTTAATATTTGAACTGCTTTGTATTGAAATACTACTTTGTAGTAAAATTGTTTATATACAAAATATTTTTAATATAAGTTAACTTCTTAAAAAATGTTGCTGTCTTTATTCACTTTTCACACTCTGGTGGGACAGGGTTGAAGTAGGGCATATGATATACACCATAACTATATTAATATTTTCTTATTCTGAAACTGCTTTCCCATTTNACATTTAGATAACAATACTGTCATAGACATTTTAAGACCATCTCTTAAAATGTGGGGTTCCCCCCTGCATTATAGTTTGATTTCTTCTTTCTTTTAAAGATGTTAGTGCCAAGTGTTTTTAACTAGTAATTATAAGTATTTTTTTTTTTCATGAACTTTATTTATGTTCAAAACACTGGTCTGGTTTTTCTTGTAAAGTTGATAAAAATTGTTGAATTTTTCTTTTTTACTGTAGGTTACCCTCCTTGGAAGTTTAGCCTGTTACTTTCAGGAAGTTTTGTACTCAGATTCCCACAGTCAATATTCTGCCAGTGGTGGTATTTCATTTTGTTCAAAGATATATAAATTTTTCTTTTTCCTTTTCTGTATTCCTTTTTTTTTTTTTTCCCCTTAGAGCCATTGCTGCTGAGATTGTTCTAAAGGGACAAAGAGAGGTAAGCCATGATTGAATATCAGATGGGTCACTTTTTAAAAAAACTATTCTGTCCTTTTTGTTGACTTCTCAATTTAAAAGGATTAAAGCATAGAAGTTAACGTTCCAAGATCTCTAAATGTTTGGAAACTCCAAAACCCAATGTAATCATTTTATGTTGAATGTTCTTGTATTGTGAAGTACCATTCTTTAAGCAGATAGGATTTTGAAGGTGTTTTTCATCATGTCGTCTGATGAAACTGTGTGTATATCTATCTTATAGGTCCATCGTTCATATCAGAGAGCCTTACAGAAGTTACCTCTTTGTGCATCACTGTGGAAAGATGTAATGCTTTTTATCTTTTATTTTATCTTGATGTTTTCCTATAAATTTTCTGCATGTGCCATATCCATTGATGTGGTAATGCTCAAACTCTAGCTAAGTCTTACTTCTATGCTTCCCTGTCTTTTACAGCAACTCTTGTTTGAAGCATCAGAAGGAGGTAAAACTGATAACCTGAGAAAACTAGTTTCCAAGTGCCAAGAGATTGGAGTCAGCCTAAATGAGCTCTTAAATTTAAACAGTAACAAAACAGAAAGCAAGAATCACTGAACACTGGGTGCAGTCAGTTCTAAGTCCTTATAATAATTGCCAAAATTATTTGAATGATTCTTCAAGATTAGGCTGGTCCCTGGCTAAGGTCTGTGTAAGGCAGACAAGCATTATTGATCATATCAAATCCCGTACAATATCCTGTCCTCAAAACCGGAAGCAATGAACATGGTCCTCTTCGGTTGGATAAATGAACTTCCTGTTTGGCCTGCTTCTAGGCCCTGCCAGATTCTCATAACATCATGTACGTAAGTATAGTTCCTCAAAGTGACTGACATTTATTTTGATTTTGCTTTGTTTTTGTTTTTGTTTTTTTACTTTCCCCGTTCCTTTATGTTGTGTTATTCCTGATTCACTTGACACTCTCTGATGCCTGAGAGATTCTTGTTTCCAGGGCTGTGTTTACAGTAAAAAAGCAGGCAGTCTTTTTTAGTTCTTCTTTTTAAATCTTTTGAGATTCTTCATTTCAGGATTTAAAACTTAAGCAGTCCATCTTAAGGAAAGTGTAACTGCCATGGCCACAAGTCTGCTAGTTGCACTTGAATGTTCTAAGAGGGTTGTTTATTGCCCTTTCTACGTTCTGGACTCCTTGACGAGACTGTTTAACTTGAAGATTAAAGAAACTATTGCAAATGCCAGTGCATCAGAACCTAAGAGTGGTCAAATATTATGTGCAATTTTTTTGTAAAGAAATTTTAATTTATAATAAAGTTTAACAGTTTAAAGAACAGTTAATATTTGAACTGCTTTGTATTGAAATACTACTTTGTAGTAAAATTGTTTATATACAAAATATTTTTAATATAAGTTAACTTCTTAAAAAATGTTGCTGTCTTTATTCACTTTTCACACTCTGGTGGGACAGGGTTGAAGTAGGGCATATGATATACACCATAACTATATTAATATTTTCTTATTCTGAAACTGCTTTCCCATTTTAAAAAAAATTCAGTGACTTTTTAATCCATGAGAAGACGGGGTCCTCTTTTTTAAATTTTTAAATTTTTTTTCTGTTCTGTTTTGAGGGCAGTGAACAGATAGGTTTGCACTACCATTAAATTCCTTGTTCTCAGAATCATAGTGTTTAGCAAGTGTCTCCCAACTGTAGTTTGAGTGATTTGCTTAGTGACATGCTATCATGTTGAATATCAACATGACCAAATATAAAGGAGACATTGCTTGTTTTGTTTTGTTTTCAGTTTATATTGGGTTTTTTTGCACCTTGGTAGAAAAATTGGTAATGCTACAAATCTGATCTTACAGCTATATGCAATCTAATTGTTGGAGGCAGAGCAGCAGCCCTATGAAATACCAGGCAAACTTTTACATCTTTACATTTGTATAATGCTTACTCAAAATAAAACCATATTTTTAGTCTCTCTATGTGCGTACCAGACAGTGCATATTTGGCTAGTAAATGCTGTTTGGTGGGGTCAAGAATGGAACCCATTTGTCTAGTGTCTTTTATTTAGCCAGAAAGAAAGCTGGAGGCTTATTAGTTTTTCTCAAAAACCAAAGAAATATGGGTGGATGATAATAATCCCAGAGAAGTATTCCTTCATTTAATATGTGTGTGACTATTTAACCTTAAAAACTTTTCCTGCTCTGATTGTAGTCAGGCGCCACATAATGACATTTGGGTCAAGGATGGGCAACATATAACATTATGGTCGGTGCAATAGGCTGTACCATATAGTCTAGGTGTGTAACAGGCAATACCATCTAGGTCTGTGCAGGTACACTCTGATGTTCACAATGTGAAGAAATTGCACTTCTTAGAATGTATTCCCATCGTTAAGTGTAACATGACGGTATTTGAAAACAGTCGTTAGTTGCTTGGAAGAATATTTCCAGTCTGTCTCCCCATAGTGTAACAGTTTTGATAATAAATGAAATGTCTCAGTTTTTAGGAGGTAGTGCTAAGTTTGAATTTTTATTGTATTGACAATTCCATCAGCAGTAACTATTTTGCCCTTTTTTTTTTTTTTAAGTGTCCTTTGCATTGGTGTATGCAGAGCTCCAGTCAGGCTGTGCATGCAACCCCAGAGTCTTCCGGGCAGTCTGCACACTGTAACAACTCCAGGGGTCACCATTCACATGCCACACACAGTCATGCAAGAATAGGCCCTGTTTCCTTTTTGGTCAGTTGGCATATTGCTATTTAAAACCGTGAAGATATCTTATAAAAATTATATTGCCTTAACGATACACTCTTATGTCACTTTTTCTTCCATCGTTCTACAAACTCATTTTAACCTCCACATACAAATAGCAAACACTGCTTAAAGAGAGGTATATCTTCCTGATATTCTTCCATATTCAGTTTCACATGTTTTTTAATGAAGTGCTTTCAACATGGAATAATTAAAATTTTAAACTAAATTTTGGGTTAAAGTTGATATGCTTATTGTAGTAACATGAATGTAAAACAGTTTAACATACTATATGACTAAAGTCTTTCTTTGCACAGAGAAATGTTATACAGTGAGAAAAGACTAGTCACTGAGGACTGCAGTCCCTTGTATTGCCCCCTGCTGGGGGCAGAAAGCGCACGTGCACGCGCGCACACACACACGGCATTTTAGGCTTTGGAGTTTTACCTCTGATAAAGGAAACGGTAGATTACAGTGTATTTTTATATGTTTTTCTTCATTTTAGAGAACAACCTAATATTTCTATTTGCCTTTTAACGGAAAGTGGACCTTGTAACATTGTTGTCACTGGATTATCTAAGGCGGTTTGCTTTCAATTAAAGGGCATATAAACCTACATCATAAAGTAAGCAAGAATCTCCAGGTGCAACATCTAAGAGCTAAGGGTTCTAAGCAAACAAGCAAAAAGTGATTAAGACTGACAACAAATGTAGAGGGACTTTGTTGAAGATTATAGTTCAAATGTTTATTTTTTAAGGTTGTTGAAAAAGTAGGAACATATGGCTAGAATACAAAACAGGGCCAATATTCTTGGTTAAAGCTGTCATATGTTCACAGATAAGTCATAATTTCCTTAAGTCTGCTTTCGTATCTGTGTTAATAGTGCGAGGGAAGAATGGGGAAATACAGTTTTAGTGACCTTTCAGGTTTGGGGATTATGCCTGCAAATGTATCATTGCCCCTCATTGCAGGTTAACTATAATTATATACAGAACATTTTGGAAAAAGAGCTGTTGAAGAAAAGAGACTTCTAAGGAACATTTCTGATATTGTTTCTTTTTTGTTCTTCACAATTTCACAATTGAATCTTTCTAAGCCTTGGTGCTTCTAAATGTAGGTGGTAGAGCTGAAAAAGAGTTTTTTCTTTCATTTATTTATTTTTTTTAGGGACTTCTAAGGAACATTTCTGATATTGTTTCTTTTTTGTTCTTCACAATTTCACAATTGAATCTATCTTTCTAAGCCTTGGTGCTTCTAAATGTAGGTGGTAGAGCTGAAAAAGAGTTTTTTCTTTCATTTATTTATTTTTTTTAGGGCTCTATTCCATATGCCACCAAAATTTCCCGTCACTTTCTGGAGATGTTCTCAGTTTGTGTTTCATTATGGGGGAGAGGGGCAGCAAACAGCCACCTAAGGACATGCTGCTCTCAAACCCTGCCCTTATTTCCATTGTCTACCCTCTTATATAACCTTCCTCAGTAATAGCTATGCAGTACTTTATGAGCACTATTTGAGATATCTGCAGTACATGTGAAAAGATTTTTCAATTTTTTCGTCTGACATCTTCGAGGTAGATAATGGTAAAATGAATATAGAATTGGTCTCCACTTTTAATTTAATGATCCTCATGAGAGGGACTCCACAACTTCAGGGGCCTCACAGAGGAGAAGGAGGCATTGTTTCATTCCAGAATCCGTTTGAGCTCGGTGTGAGGCATTCTCAATGCAGAAACTAATAAAGGGGTCCCCAAGAATACTTACAGTCTAACAGAAGCAGAAGGGTATATGCAGAGGAATCATCTCCAGTGGAGCTCCTAGCTTGAATTGGAGGTTGGGAAAGGCTTCCTGGATGGAAGTGATTTATTAACTAAGTCATAAAATGGAGGAAAAATTGAGGTAAATGTTATTTTCAAAATTATGTGCTACTTCTGTATATTGTAGAAGGATTTGCACGTTAGAAACCTGTGCATTTTAAAAAACTTCCTAAAAAGCTTCTTTACGTTGTGCAAATTCATCACAACTGACAATTTGTTAGACATGAGAACAGGTAAGACGTTTAAAATTCCATAGCAGCTTAACTATCCAGAAGAGAGTCCTCTTGGGGGTACCTTGTGCTTCGAAATTCACATGAGCCTGACTGACTAGGACTAATCTTATCAGACCCAGTAAGCAGCCTTGATATGGAAAGTCTGATTGGACTTACAACTGCTGGTACTGGCTTTACTTTTTTTTCCCCTCTAACTTCTTGGGTAATGCGTGAGTAAAGAGTCATGGTTATTTTTCTATCTATATAGAACTACCCAGAGATGGCCCAAAGCGTCTTTAATGCTTTAAACTGATTTTTCCAAATGACATGTTAGCCCAATACCAGAAATGTTTGCAATCAATGTGTAAAGCCAGGAATAAAATGGTTCAGTTGGAGAACAAAAAAGATGTGCACAAGCTTGAAAGGAATGTGTGCTTCCTGGTTTTATCAAGAAAGTAAAGGTTACAGAATATCTGAGGCCAATGCAGTTGGTCTTAAATGATATGACTGTGGTGAATGTTGTTGCATTTGGATTTTTCCTCCAGTTTATAGACAAAATTTACTGCATAGAAAACAGTGAATAGAATGCTAAGAATATGTGAGCCAATTATATTCCAAACACTGTAGAATAATATGAACCTTTTACCTTTAAGCAAGACTTTAATAAATTGTGAATACTGTATTAGTCCGTTTGTGTTGCTATAACAGAAATACCTGAGACTGGGTAATTTATAAAGAACAGAGGTTTATTTTGCTTATGATTCTGGGACAGCTGCATCTGGCACAGGCCTCAGGCTGCTTCTACTCATGGTGGAAAGCGGCAGGCAGCTGGAGGGTACAAGCAGATCACATGGTGAGAGGAAGCAAGAGAAAGAGGAAGTGCCAGGGTCTTTTAAACAACCAGCTTTCATGGGAACTAATTGAGCAAGATCTCACTCAGAACCCTCACCCCCCCAGGGAGAGCATTAATCTATTCATGAGGGATCCACCCCCATGACTCAAACAGCTTCCAGCATTGCTACATTGGGGATCAGATTTCCTCATGAGTTTTCGGGGGACAACACATCCAAACTCAAAGGCCATCCAAAGTGTAACCAAATATGATTCTTCAAGGGCCTTCTGTGAAGTAAAAGCCTAAATCCAAACCTGATAACTTCAGGCAGCCATTCTTAAAGAGTATATGCTGCATTTGTCCTTTGCTTATTCTGAAAGCTTCAAGACTGATCATCAAGTCAGCCAAAATCAAAGGTGGGTTTACAGTATTGTTTTGGTGCATCAAGCAAATTAAATTTCGCAGTTGTTCTTAACTAGTGAAGTAAGCCTTATGAAAGAGATTGATAGCCAACAGCCTAAGGGAGCTGAATCAATTAGGAAGAGTGGTAGTGTACTGGCGAGCTGTTTGTAGTAGTGATGATAATCAGGGTATCTGCTCCCAAGTCCAAAACAAACAGTCAACTTGGCACATCACGCAGTCAAATTTATGAGACTGTATGTGGATAGATTGGTATATCATACTGGTTGAAAAGAAACTACAAAGAAATAATTTCAGGAAATGGAGGAGTGAATTAATATGAGTGATGAAAAAGCACATATCTAAAAGATTGGGGTATTAGATTTAGCTCTGCCATTAACTAGCTGTATAATCA